GCGAACAGTGGGCTCTTTCTGTGTGCCAAGCATTGCACTAGACATCAGTTGAAAGAAAATACTTTCATGAGTAATTCACGGTTTGATGAGGAGCTCCTGTGGCAAGTGTGGTAATAGAAGTAGGAATATGATGACGGAGCCCTAAAGAGGCCATGGCTTACATTACAGTAGGTAAAATGCATGACACCTAAAAGCTCTGGGATCATGAATTGTTTTCCAGCTTCAAAAAGTGGTATTGGTGGGCGTCTACAGCTTTAGAACATGTAGAATCAACCTACCCGTTTAATTCAGGAGCACGACTCAGGACACAGGTGGACATCACCCAAATAGGTCCTTTTTATCAGTATTATAAAGCATTAGACTGTAAAACATTCTCTGCCCAAAAAAATTTCACAAGATTCTTTGCACACTCTTGCTTTTTTTTTCATTCAACTCTACTTTTAATGAAATATCTCCATTTAAAACACCAGAGAGTCAACAATAAAAAACAATCTAATTAGAAAATGAGCAAAAGATAGCAACATTCTCTCTCATGAAAGAGGGTATCCAGATAGCAAATAAGCACATGAAAAAATGTTCAAGGCCGGCCGAGTGGCGCACTGGTTAGGAGTTGGCTTGGGACGCCAGCTCTGAGCAGCAGGGCCCCGGTTCGGATCCCACATGAGAGCCAGTGACGCTGTGCCCTATGCAGCTAAGATGGTGAACAACAGCTCAACCTGGACCTGGGCTGTCGTGAGTCACCGGCGACGGTGTAGGCTGCAGTGGGGCTGGCCAGCAGCTGGAGTGAGCTTTCGTAAGCAGCCGTCCAGTGGCTGGCGAGCGACTGCCTCAGCCAGGAAGAGCGCAATGATCACAATACCAACATGGGCCAGTGAAGCGACATCCTCCACGACTAGACTGAAGAACAAAAGGACAGCAGCTTCCCCGATTCCCCAGTAAAGTCTTTAAAAAAAAAAAAGGAAGGAAGAAAAAGTATTCAGCATCATTAGCAATTAGGGAAATACAAATTAAAATCACAATGAGGTATAGGTACACCCTATTAGAATGTCTAAAATAAAGCATAATTATAACAGTAAATGTCAACAAGGATGCAGAGAAACTGAATGACACTGCTGGTGGGGATGTAAAATGGTACAACCACTCTAGAAAAAAGTATGGCAGTTTCTTATAAAACTAAAAATGGGTTTACCATACAACCCAACAATTGCACTTGTGGGCATTTATCACAGAGAAGTAAAAACTAGTGTTCACACAAAATCACTCAAATGTTCATAGCAGCTTTATTTGTAATAAATAAAAGCTGGAAACATTCTATTTGTCCTTCAGAGTGGGTAAATGGTTAAACAAACTGGTACATCATACCATGGAACTTTACTCAGCAATAAGAAGGAACAAACTATTGACATAATACATGCAACAACTTAAATGGATCTCAAGGGAATTATACAGAGTGAAAAGAACCAATTTCAAAAAGTTACATCCTGTATGATTTCATTTATATATCATTCTTAAAATGACAAAATTAAAAAGGGAGAAAAGGTGGATTATGACTGGCTACCCTTTAATAAAAGGGGTAACACAAAGGACATTTGTAATGGCACTGTTCTGAATCTTGTCTGTGGTGGTGGTCACACAAATCTACATGTGATAAAAATTGCATAGAAACATACATACACAAGTGCACATAAAACTGAAGCTACGTATATGGAAAAGGTCAATGGACTGTATCAATGTCAATTTCCTGTGATAGTATACTACAAGTGTAGTTATGCAAGATGTTACCATTGGTGGAAACTGAGTGAAGAATATATTTGATCTGGCTATATTATTTCTTAAAACTTCATGTGACTCCATAATAATCTCAAAATTAAAAGTTAAAAAAAAAAGCAGGCATTAAGGCTTAGGAAACCATAGGCTTTTAGGTCAACAAAATTGGTTCAAATTATGGCTCCACCACTTACCAACTATGGGACCATGAGCCAGTTCTTGAACTTCTCTGCATCGGTCATTTTTTTTTCACTTGTATTGAGATATAATTGACATATAACACTGTATTAGTTTTAGGCATATGACGTAATGATTTGAGATATATATGTAGTGAAATGAGTACCACAATAAGTTTAGTTAACATCCATCACCTCACATAGTTACAATTTCTTTATTTTTAGTGTGTACATTACACTGCTTCCCTCCTTGAGTTATTTTGAGGATTAACTGGCTCAGAGTAGCCAGTTACTATCTGATAGATTTTGAAATATTAAGTATAATAGCCACTTACCATTTACATTGGGTCAAAATATTTTGTTTTTCATCTAGCATTTAGAGGGATAGGTACTCTGACTTCTCTGCAGAAATTTAATATTACTAGGTATTCTCTATTTCAGGGGTCAGCAAACTGGCTCGTGAGCTGCATCCAAAGAACCTCATGTGGTTCATGAGCCGCATCCAAAGAGCCGCATGTGGCTCGCGAGCCGCAATTTGCTGATTCCTGCTCTATTTCATTAGCTTCTGCTCATGTCTTTATTTCTTTCTACTTTCATGGGATTTACTCTATATTCTTTCTCCTTCCTTGGTTGGACACTTAACTCTTTAAATGTCTTCCTTTCCAAAATAGGCTTTTAAACTAGGTTTTTTCTTTTACAACTGTTTTAGTCAAATCACAAATTTTAGTAATGGCAACCCAACATCTTCATTATCATTCAGTTATAAATATAGCTGTTTATTTTTCTTTAATCCAAGAGTTATTTGAAAATGTGGTTTTCAGTTTCCAAACATGATGGGTGATCTTTGTAGTCTTAATAATTATTCGAAATATGTTAAGCTTCCTTTTTGGCTTAGCATGTGATCAGTTTTTAATAAATGTTTCTTATGTGCTTTGGAAAAGAATATGTGTTCTTTAATTGTTGAGTATGAAATTTTATCTTCAGTACTTTGTTACTTTGGTTGTTCGTATAATCAGTACTATATTTTGATCTGGTTGACCTATCAGTTACTGCACTAAAAATAACCCTCTTTGATTTTGTCATATTCTCCTTACAATTCTTCCAGTTTTTACATTTTATATTTTGGCTATGTTGTTAGGCATAACAGATTCAGAATTATTACATTCCCCTGATGTGGTGTTTGTTTCATCATAATGCAGTGATCTTCTTTATTCATTTTTGTCTTAAATGCTTTTTTACTTAAACATATATTTTATCTGATAGTAATATAGTCACTTAAGCTCTTTTTTAGGTAGTGTTTACATAATATATATGCCCAGAAATTAGAAGTCTTAAGGGAAACAGTTTTCTGCCCAGGCTTTCCCTGGCAAGTGTCTTTGCCAGATCTCCATAAGCCATTATGTTTGCAAGCCCATCCATTTACTGAAAGCTGTTTAAATGTTCTATTGGGTTGTTGGAAAAGTCATGACGCATTTTTGCAATGAAAAACATAGAAAAAATACATCATGACTTTTCCGACTACCTAATAATTTATATAAAGGCTCTCAATTGCAACCTCTTGCCACATACAGACCTAAGGTTTCGCCTTCTTTCTCCACAAGGGCATCAAAATCCAAGCCTCCATTTTATCAGGACTGGTTTCTATCCTTTACCCCACCCCCGCCCCACCCCCTTCCCCAAGCCTCAACTTGGGCAGCTACACTGTCAGCTCATGTGCTTACTGTAATTTTTGGTTTTCAGTTCTGACCTTTTGGGATTCCCCTTGCAAATTCACCTATGCATTTTAAAGAATGCTAGTTATATTTTCTTTAACATTTCTAGGTGCTTGGGATGTGTGTTTAGGGAGGAATATTGAGATCATCTGATCTGTCATGAAGAGCAGTTCTTATAAGGAGTGTTAATCTAGCCTGAGAATGGTACTGTGTTCAGCAGTTGTAGAATACTGGATCAGTACTTTCTGAGACTTAATATGAGATGAATTGAGTAAATCCTTATGTTTGAGTGGATGCTAGATACCCTGGTGGGAGGGCAACACCTACAAAGATCTGCCATGTGTTATTTCTGGGTAAGAGCCATTTTGAACTTAGGGTAACAAAAGACTGGTCTATAGAACACCAAGATTCTTTTACATGTCAACTTCTAAATTTGAGAATATTTATAAACATATTAATGAATAGCATTAAAATCTTATTGTTGCTTACTTAAGACTTTTGTAAAACAGTTTTATCAGAGTTATAAAACTGATTTGGACTTAACTATTTTAGTTGAAGTTCTTAAAAAATGTTATAAGCCTGTTTCAAAATTATACTTAAGCATATTGTAACAGCCATATACATGTCAGAGGGGTAGTAGACTTGGGGTGGGGGAAATGTATCACTTTGTGAGGGGTATAAATGTCTAACCATTATGTTGTTTGTACACCTGAAGCTAATATAAAAAAATTAAAACAATTGTACCCAAGCAAAGTACAGTGATCTAGCTGTCAAAGGGCAGAGGTAAGCGACACTAATATTACATTCAAAATATAAAATTTAAGGAAGAAAAGGTTTGCAAGTTACAACTATTAGTTTTTGTATAAACTAGGTATATTATTTACACACTAATTTGTTTTTAAACTATGACATAGAATATTTATTTCTTTTTTATTGTTTTCCCATGCTTTTTTGAATTTTATAAATGTACAAAACCCATAACTGGAATCCAACAAAAGTTTCCTTTGAAATTTTTATTTTTGAAAATTTTTTTATTTGAAATTTGCTTTAAGATCAGAGTTAGTTTTCCTATTATGAACATTGCGACAGTTGCACCAAGAGTAAATTTAGTCCCCAGAATGTGAGTTAAGTGGTAGGACTCTTCATCAAAAGCAGAATGTCATGATTTTGCTGTTTGGAGTTTAGTTCTCTGTGCCCAGAATGACAAGTTCTAAAATGATGATTTTGTTTACTGATTCTTCACATGTGTTTAAGGAAAAATGAAATATATGGTTGAACCAATGACCCTTATTATTTTGTATAATAAAAGGTATTATACTTATAACAACTTTACATTTTCTTCTAGGTTACCTTCCGAACAAGAATCTACCACTGTAATATTAACAGCCAAGGTGTGATCTGTCTGGATATCCTAAAGGACAACTGGAGTCCGGCCCTCACCATTTCTAAAGTGCTCCTCTCCATCTGCTCACTTCTTACAGATTGCAACCCTGGTGAGAGACTTTAAATCCAGTCTTGAACTGGCTCTATTCACGACTTAAATGTCAGACCTCACTAAATTGTTGGCTTTACTACCATCACCACTCTACTACCAAGACTAGGATTACTATTACTTTGACTTTAAATTTCCATAGTACGTGTGTAACAGCTTTCTTGTTAAATTGGGTCTTGGCATTAGTCTTTCTAAGACCTGTTATTTGCCACGGAGGAAAAAGCATAGTGTGATAAAAATTAATGAAAAATCATTTTAGATTAAGAATTGCACTTGAAGAATGTATTACATTCTGCTGCCAAATAATAATAAAAATTTTGATTGAATAGCTTAATCTTTAATTAAATGCCTACCAGAAGATGTTAATTTGAGAAATGTGGGTTATTTAAATCTGAAAACAACCAGGCAGCGTCATACAGAGGTGACCTTTTTGGCATCTTAACAGTCCATCCTATAAGCTATTAGCACAAAAAAGCAGAATGGCTCTGAACTAGGAAATACCCAAAAAATAAACTAGAAAAGACAAATACAACTTTCCAGGAAAACTAACGAGAGTTTATGGCGAAGCCTTCTTGGCTTGCTGGTGTGCTTAACGTTGAAAGTTCTTACTTTCTGTGTGGCCCCCAGATGTGTGATTTTGTGTCTGACCAGCTTCTTTTAACTAACAGACAAAACAACTGCCAATTCTTCACATATTTGGATTCATTTTGGAAAATCTAAAAAGCCAAAGGTAACTGTAGGGTTTTTCATAGATATTCTCAATGAGAAATTCTTCTTTGAGTTTTTAATTGGTAATCTTAATATTTCATGAGATTCCATCTTCCATGTTCAGGAATAAATTCTATTCACTAGATAAATGAAGTTTTAGACTAGAGAAATGACAAGTGGGATTGGGGTCTCTCGAGATTCCTAGCTGGTTTATAAAACATGAAGAAATTATCGTCTTTTTAAGTTTTATATGTTTACTATTTTTCAGTAATAAAAACTTTTTAATGAAGAAATACAAAACCAGAATTAAATTGTCATATATTTAGAATATATATAACAAGTTAAAGCTTTTAACACCAAAAAGGAAATATAATTGGGCATGATCATTTAAAATATTTTTAATTCATACTTCACCCCAGATAGTGAAGTTCAATAATGCTACACTAATATAAAACTGAGTGACAGATACTTTATTCTTTAATCTATTATTCCTGTGTCAGTCCCATTGTCTCTTTCACCGAGTATAACTTCATTTGGAGGTGATGTCATAAAAAGTCATTATTTTGTGATATGAGGCCTAGACCAAGTGGTCCTCCTGGAAATAGCGGAACATGAACTGCATCTCCTTCCCTACTCCCCAAAAGTACTTCTGAGGTTTGCTGAAATTTGGAGTGAGGGGTGCTTTTTTTTGAGAGAAAAGTTTATTTTGAGATGCAACTTATTCAAGAAACTTTTGATGTCAAGCCATTATGCTGTACCCTTAAAGTTAATATACAGTGTTGTATGTCAGTTATATCTCCATAAAACCAGGAAGGGGAGAAAAACTTTTCAAACACTTCTATTTATGAGGCATTTATAAATGATAAGAAGTCCTCACTTCTTATACGGAATAAAGTGTAACTTCACACTTAAAAGAAAAAACTCGGTACTCACTGAGAGGCATTCCTTACCCCCGTGGTAACTGGCCTGCCCGGTCTCTCAGTCAGCTGACATGCGCCTGGCACCCTGAATCAACTTGTATGGGAGAGTCTGTTCTCTGTGCAGATAGCTAACCTTGCTTAAAGGAACAGATTCACTCCACCAAAGCCTTGTCTCAGTAGAGCGATTTCTGCTCAGTAAATTAGTTTTGTTTTGCTGTGTCTCAGGAAATTATATATGCGTTCTGCAAAAAAAATAAAAATAAAAATTACCCCTGGCTAAAGCAAAAATCGCATAAATAAAATAAACCGATTTTGAAAATAATGCTATTGATAGTAAGAATAAATCTAAAGATAATAGTGCTCCTTGAATTTCACCAACTAAAGATAGCCCATCTGATACAAAAATGAAATACTATTTGCAAAATATATGCTAACAAGCTAAATGTTTATAATATTCTAACACATATGAGGAAGCTTCCTAATTAGCACATCATTTATATTTATATATGTGTCCACACTTCTAGACTCTTAAAAGGAGTTGTTTATCTTAAACAAGTAAAAATGTCCTTTCTTTTGTTCAATGGATTTATTTCACAGTTTTCTGATACACTTCCAATCTCTGTAGAATTTTTCCTCCTAGATTTGTTACACTTTAATCTAACCTATCTTCAAATTATCACAAATATAAATTTGGTAGAATATGAATAAATAAGATTTTCCTAGACTGAATCTGTAGACCTATTTTAACACCAGAAATACTATGACCTCAGAAGTAGGCCTTGCATAAGGATATAGATTTAACCAACTATAAATGTTTTCTCACTCTTATCCCTACATACACTAATTTTTTATATCTTTTTCATACCTTTCTCATAATTTGCATTTGTCTCTTTCAAGAAATTTGGGCCCATTCAGAAACTAATGTGTTTCAGGATGGGGCTGCACACCCTTATTGCATGATATTATATTTATAGTCAGCAGATGTAGATTTAAAAACTAGTTCCACTGTTCATTAGGTGTGTGACCTTGAACTGTCTCTTAACTTTCCTCAGCCTTAGTTTCTTATATAAAACGAAGGTATCGTCAGCCCAACCTACATCACAGAATTCCTGTGAGTGTAAAATGAGATGGTGTAAGTGAAAGCCTTTATAATAATAATAGCTTCTTGTTGGTGTTATTTCCCAGGGTATTTTGGACTTATAAAGGGCATACAGATTCAACCTGTTTAGTTGAATTTAATTGAGAGAAGATAGTATTTAGTAATCTGTTAACACCACCGCCTTGGCACCGACACTCTTGGATTTTATAATCTGAAAAAAAAGCGTAATTCTGAATTAGTAGTGCCTGTTGTATTATCTCTTCGGAAGGGTTATCTCTCAGGAGGCAAACGTCCAACATTTATCAGCCAATCAATAGGTGCACCAGTGATTATCTTCCTGTTCCCACTGCAGTGGTCTTGGTAGGTCTAACTGCTGGCCTTCATAGGACTAGTCACACTTCACAGTGGTGTTTATTGAACCTGATACAAAATTCTTATTGGTCAGACGTTACCCAGCTGCCAGAATTTGTCTGTGACACACTGATGGTGAACAGAGTGGCAGCAGAAAGGAACAGAGGATGGTATGCTCAAAAGGTTAGCACCAGCCTCCCAGATTCCATAAATTTAGTCCTGCTTGGTAAACCTGATTTAATGTATGAATGGCTGAAGTTTAGAGTACTAGTCAAATTTCCATTTTTCATGGAATGCTCTTATTTGTAAATACTCTCTTCTCAAGCACACACAAAATTTAAGCTGTGTTCTGCTTGATTTCACATTTTGAAGTTTGTTTTTACTGTTTTGTGGGTTTTTTAAACTCTTAGATGTTTTATCATATCTTTTATATGAAATCTGTTATTTAAAATACACCTATATTATGGTCTTCAGTTGTATAAATAATGGGTATTTTCCATCATACAAAATGAACTATCTGAGAACACTGACAGTTATGACATAAAACAAGGATGTCAACATTTTTCCTATACCAGATGCTTTATTTTACAGATTACATCCAGAAATATTTCTAACCTCTTTTTCCCCTTTTTCTGAAAAGCATATAAAGCTGCATATCATCTGGCATTATTTTACTAGTCTTAGTTCTACTTTCCTACTCTACTACTGTTGCTTTCTAAAGTGTTATGGGCTTGTTTCATTCTAAATACAATTCTGATCCTGTTATCATTAAAAAGTTTCCCCAAAAACATATTATTATGATGAGATAATTGGAAATTTGCAAACTGAGCATTTGATATTAACGAATTATTGCCAGAAATGTTTAGGCATAATAAAATGGAATTGTGATTATGAATTTTTTACATGTCCTTACCTTTTAGAGATACATACTGAATGAACTATTTGCAAATGAAATTCTTTGATTCCAGAATTTGCTTCAAAGTAATCCAGAAGAATTAGATAGGATAGGGATGTGGAAGATATGTTGACCATTATACAAGGTGCAATCAAAAACTATGGTGAATGTTTAAATTTTAAAAAAAAATTATTGGGGCTGGCCGAGTGGCGCAATGGTTAAGAACTGGCTTGGCAGGATACAAAATCAATACTCAGAAATCAGTTGCATTTGTATATACCAATAACAAGCTATCGGAAGGAGAAATCAAGAAAACAATTCCGTTTACA